ACTTCTGTTTGCACAAAGATGATCAGTGATGAGGCTTCTGGATCAACTGTCTTGCCACCTTCCACTCAAAGAACTGTCTCAAAACCCATCTAGAAAAAAAATAACCCCAAGAACCACCCCCTCCCAAAAATAAAAACCCCAAACACTTTCTCTGCCTGTAGGTCCATGCAATCCACATCAAAGCTCAAATGGCTTTGCTGTAACTTGGTTCTCACCACTGTTGAGAAGAATAGAAATAACCAGTTTGGTCCTTCCAACTACAACTTCTTCCAGGTCAGCACCTGCAGCTTGACTGGGCTCACTGAACTCCACTCACTTATACAGTTTAATTAATACAAAACAGAGAGCTCCCCAAAAACAAAATTATGAACTCCTACAACAAAGAGCATGCCTTTCAAACAGAAAACTCACCCCCTTTAACTCTACCAGCAAAAGACAGCACTGAGAGGGGATCAAAAAGCTTTTTATGTGCTGGAAATAGGTCTTGAAACAAGACCAGTAACTCAGCACATGCCTATTTCCATGGCAGCAGAACTTACTTTAACCTGTTCTTAATTCCTTTAAGATAAGCTGAAATAAGTCTAGACACAATCATCCTCTGCACAGGTTTCACTTATTCCACATAAACTGCTGCATTTCAGCTGTAAGATCAGAGCACAGGAGACCCTTTTTATGTGGATGTTATTATAGGAAATAAACACACTTGTGCCAGGATGAACAATTGTTGTCCAGGCTGCTTTGCAAAAGGGCATTTTTTTTTAGTGATGTAAGGACTCAGAGGTTATAAACAGCATCAGTCTATTTTGGTAAAAGGTGACTGTCCCTAAATAGAATAGTAATAAGGGCACGTGGCACTCCAGTGTGAAGAATAATAACAACTCTCACAAGCAGCTTTGTCTGCAAACTAACCCACAATTCCTGACCCTGGTAATTCACTTGTTTTGATGTTTACATCACAAATAACACTTCTGTGAACTGAGGTATTTATAGCCCTCAAATCCAGGTGACTGTGAGCAGTGCAGCCTCACAGCCCCAGCACAGGGTAAACAAGGACACACCTCAACAGGGAAAGCTCAGCCTTGCCATTGATTCCCAGACACAACCTCCCCTCAGTGAACTGTTTGGGATTGTGCCACTGGCAGCAGGAAGGATTGGGACTGAGGGGAGGATAAGGCACATTCAGGGAGAACTTTCTGCCTTAAAGCCATAACCCACTGCTCCAACAGGATTTGGGTTTGCAGCAACCCTGGCAAAGTCATTTGAAACACTCTCCTCACAGAGGTTCTCAGCCTCCTAGGTTTATAGAACCAGGGAATGGCCTGGGTTGGAACAGGTGTTGAAGCTCAAATTGTTCCACCCCCTGCCATGGCAGGGACACCTTCCACCAGCCCAGGTTGCTCCAAGCCCTGTCCAACCTGGCCTTGGACACTTCCAGGGATGGGGCAGCCACAGCTTCTCTGGGCAACCTGTGCCAGGGCCTGCCCACCCTCACAGGGAAACATTTCACCTTGATATCCCATCTAACCCTGCCCTCTGGCAGTGGGAAGCCATTGCCCCTGTCCTGTCACTCCATGCTCTTTTAAATAGCCTCTCTCCATCTTCCTGCTGGCTCCTTCAGGTACTGAAAGGCTGCAGTGAGTCACCCCAAAGACTTCTCCTCTCCAGGCTGAACAGTCCCAATTCTCTCAGCCTTTCCTCACAGCAGGGCTGCTCCATCCCTCTGATCATGTTGGTGCCTCCTCTGGACCTGTTCCAGCAGCTCTGCAGGTGGGGTCTCACCTGAGCAGGGAAAGGGGCAGAATCCCCCCCCTCACCTGCTGCCCACACTGTGGGATCAGCCCAGCACATGGGTGGTCTCTGGGTGCCAGTGCACATGGAGAGGGCATGTCCAGCATCTCATTCCCAAGTCTTCCTCCTCCTCCCCATCTGCAATCAATCCCTTCATTCCCCAGCCTGGATGGATCCCGGGGGTTGCCACAACCAAGGGGCAGCACCTTGAGCTTGGTCTTATTAAACTTCATACCAAGACTGTTTGCATTCTTATCACCTGTCCCCTGACAAGCCTCAGGTCACTGAGAAGGCAGCAGAGAGAGGGGCAGGGTGAAGGATGACCCAAGAAAGTGCCCACAAGCAGAAGTGGGCTGAGGTCCCACCTACTCACTCATTTAGGGGAAAACCCCTTAGAACATCTGCTCCTTTCAAAGAACAGTGGGGACAGAAAGGAGGGAGGACAAGGAAGGTAAACTCAAACCTAAATACAGGGTAAGAATAACATTGCACCAGCCTAGAGCCCCAGAGCAGGTGTAGGAGGGCAGTGTGTGACCAAGCAAGACCCCAAGGGGAGGCTGGTTCCACTCGGGGGTGGTGGGCACAGAAGCAGCCTCAGCACAGGGCACTGGGCACAGTCCTGGCCTCCCACACAGCCCAGGGAACAGGGTGACGTGTCAGGGACACAGGGATGCAGCGCTAACCCATGGATAACAGCCCCAGCCCCCTGCCAAACACAGAGTGTAGGAAACGCCCTAAAGACCCCCTTTCCAAGTAAACACTAAAAGAAAGAGGCACCCCCAGCCCCACAGATGCTCCCACTCAGTGCACACAAGGCGCTGCCCCCAAACACGCAGGGAGTAGCCCCCAAAGCCTGCCAGGCCCCTCCAAAGCCCACTCACAACAATGAAGCCCCCTGTAAACCTCAGACCCCTCCTCCATGTCTCCTGTGACCCCCAGACCCCCTCTCGGCCCCACAGCCCCTTCCAAAGCCCACTCACAACAATGATGCCCCCTGTAAACTCCCCCAGACTCCCTCTCAGCTCCACACCCTCCTCCATGTCCCCTGTGACCCCCTAGACAACGACTGGGTTCCCCGGGCCTCTCAGAAGCCCACTGACAACAATAAAGCCCCTTGTGACAACCCCTCAAGCC